GGGGGGGGGAAGGTTGGAATTTCCAAGGGGTGGGGAGGGTCTGACTAGGGCATATTTAGTGGGTCTTTATGAAACTTTCCGTAGGGGTATGGAGTATGGCTAACATCTGGACTACATATTGTATGGGGGAAAAAAGGATTGAAGCTATGTGCTTATACCTCTCCACTTTGCCTGTCATGATCCATACATGGCTGTCCATCTTTAGGTGAGTATATAGTGTACCTAAACAAATAGATTCATCACATCTAGTGAGCTGATCATTTACTGGAAAAGACAAAACACTCAGGATAGACCAAGAATTAATGGGCAATGTCCATACACCTTTTCCAGATTCCCTTGAAAGACTATAAAACTATGGATAAATTTGAGGTTGAGCTAGGCATCTCAATTTGGAGCCTTTCTTTACGTCACACCTCTAACCTCTTTGTGCTCATTGCAAATAAGGCCTAAGAGCCTTTCCTTTAAGCCACTTGTAATTTGAGCTTCTGATCAGGTTATTGCTGGTTTTCACATGACGTCATCAAAACATCAAAATCTAAACTGTAGATCGTATAAAGACATTTCTCAAGTATGTTTTAGAAGTCAGTGTTATAAGACACAAGAAAAAATCTCGAGTCATTTCGATGTTTGGTTCCCGAGTTATGAAGGTTGAGTTTGTGTCACGCAATACCGTCACGTCTTTCTAAATAGCGATGAAAATATTAAAATAATTTACTTTAGTTGAAAGATTTTCCCTTAGACACGTTTAAAATATTTATTTAAAGTATGTGTAAGTGAAAAATAGTCAAACATATTAAATATTCCATCATTTTAAGCCTTTAGAATTTCGTCCGCCATGATAGTGTACCAACTTGGAACACCAAGATGGCCGCTCCATACATTTTAACCAAAAATTGCGTCATGTTTACTCGCCTATAGTTCCGCAACGAAATGCTTTACAGCCTTAAAATTTAACCAGTATATGTAGTTTGGAACGCTTTACAAGAATATAAGACTTTTATTTCATTGTAATGCGAATTTACGCTTTTGAAATTCATGATGACATAGGTGAAAACCAAGAATAGTGGTTGAGTTGACCCCATTGTTCATCTGGGCACAGTCACATCAATACTTTTAGCATAAAATTACTGTGCTCTGTTTGTCACTACCAACCTCTTTCCAAACTTGACCTTGCCTTTCTCCTTAAGAGTCCAAAAGTGCCATCTCACAAATGAATCATAATAGGGATTAACATCAGTTGTGATGAAAGAACGCCTCCAGTCAACCTACAATATTAAAAGAGGAAATTGCTTCAGTTGGTATCAATCTGATGAACACTATTCACAAGGGTGCAGGGTTCAAACACTGCACTTTATGCACAATCTTCAATGGACACTTCTACTCAATACTCTGCATTCAGCTGGTAAAATTTCCAAAAGAGAAAGGAAAAGATATCAACTGAGAGCAACCTCTCTGATTCAGCTCACACATACAGTAGTACTAACTGCTATTTAAAAAAAGCTCCTCTCACAATCATTATCCCACTATATAAAGGGGAAAACTAATATCCAGTTGTTGGTCTCAATACATGTGACATTCAAGACATCTAGCTCATGTTTACAATGTACCAATACAAGTAACTCTTGAAAGAAAAGACTGAAATATCTCTCTGCTAAAGGGTTTTTTACTTGAAAAGCTAGAAATGTTTTAGAGTAGAACATTTTTTGAGAGCTCTTACCTTCAAGCCCATAGACTGCAGGTCAGACTTTGCAAGTGGTGGAAAATACTCTAGCCAATGGTCTGTGTTAGCAAACCTAACAAAATAGAAAATACACTTGTGAGCAAGTTACTCAAGATGCTGCCTTTAGGGACATTTTCTGTTTGTAATTCAGGCTTTATTTTGATTTAAAATAGACTTAAAAATTAAAAACTTTGGTCAGAAAATTTAGGATTTTTAAGAACTGCACAATACAGTGATATCTCTATAAAGTGGACCCCCTATTTAATAGAAAGCTGCATGTGCCGAATTTTTTTTTCTTCACAATATTTTACAGTCTGTAAATCAAACCTCTATTCAGCATGCACCTCATTAATTAGACACCAGTCAAGGTCCTGAAGGTGTCCACTTAATACAGGTATTACGCTGTACAGTACTTGTGTGTGATGCATACTTAGGGATCTCACTGTCTGTTAGTCCAAGTGATTTCATGATTTGCCATTGATAAACAGCACCACCAGTCTTAGCAGCCACTTTACTCTTTAACTACAAAAAATAAATAACACAAGAATAATTATGTGAGATGGAATGATATGTATTGAATGTGCCTTCCACTAGAGTTCAGTCCATTCCCAAACTCATGCTGATGCTGTAAAAGCACCAGGTCATAAGTTCACTAGTCTGTCAATAACCTTTCAGACATAAGCTAACACACCTCTGGGAAACGCATCTTATGTTCATAGTGTTGTTTCTTAGAAAATGAGAAAATGAACTCATGACTTATTGTCACTGTACCTGTACAGAACTTGTTTCACTCTTGTCCACCTCAGGAAATTTAGGAGGGTTTCCAAATTCCTGTATTTCTCTCTTTAACTTGTCAGCACAAGCCTATGAGACACAATTAGGAAAATAATTCTTAGTCAACAATGGTGACAGCATATAACATAATGTGAGAGTCATATCATACCTTGATTGGCATTCCAGTACAGTGAAAAGCAAATGGAAACAAGGTCTTCTTTCCTTTCAACCYGTTGTAGCCAGATGCAAACTAAAAATGATAATAGCATTATTAATAGAGTCAGCACAAACATCTTTACTTGAAAAACAAAATCTTGTACAATAAAGAAACAAGATAGAAGACTCACCTCAGCCTAAATTGTGATTTATCATGTGGAGAAATGAAAGAAAACTTTATAATTACACAAATTAAATATATGTGGTAAATATTTATGGTAGACTTGCTAAAATGCTAAATCCATTCTATCCCATCCTATACCATACAAACCTATCTGTTCATGCAATCCCATCCCATTCATTCATTCATCACTTTATCTATCCTTTCAACTACCAAACAGCAATGCATTATTCCATCCATCTATTCATCCACCAACCAGACATCCATCTGATCAATTCATCCATTGTTTCCATCTGTTCATCCACTTACCACCCCATGCACCCATCCATCCATCCTATCCAATGATCCATCTATCCCATCTACTTACCTACCCATCCATTCATTCATCCCATCCATCTCACCCACCCCTCCATCCATCCCATCCAACAATCCATCTACTTACCCACCCACCCCTCCATCCATCCCATCCATTCCATCCAACAATCCATCTACTTACCCACCCACCACTCCATCCATTCCATCCAACAATCCATCTACTTACCTACCCACCCACCCCTCCATCCATCCCATCCAACAATCCATTCCCTCCATACACTTTCCATCCAACAGCTTCCACCCCACAATCTATACCACCCATCCATCAATCCACTAATCCAATGATCCATGTACCCCCTCAGTACTATTCTAAACATCTATTTCCTTCCATCAAGTCAATCAATTAAATTATCCTTAATCCTCAAAATATAACAGAATGATTGAACTTCATACACACCTTGGATAAGGAAAATGTATGACCAAGATGCAATTTTCCATTCATATATGGGTAAGGAAATGTGCAAAAGAACTTGTCTTTCCTAAACAAATATAATATATATCATTAAATTTACTCATAGTTAATATTAACTATGATTTACTGCACTGTTGAAGAAACAGAAAAACACACGTATTGGCTGCAGCTATTAAAGCATGCAGGTGTCGATGGCAGAACACGAGAAAAGTACTTTTGCAAAGAGCTTTATATGTGCACAGAACAGCAAGCAAACTCTTATTTAATTTATAAAATACCAATTTGAAAAGCTGTGTTCTTGATATAAAATTGCCTGCATTATTCATCCATACTGTACATGTAGTTAGACTCAGAAGCTAGAAGATAAGCTTGGAATCAGGACCTGGTTAAAAAAAAGGGTTCTAATGACCCTCCAAGCACAGCAAGGAGGTAACCATGGTAACCACTCACAGTCCACCATCTAGTACCACACTGATAAGACCCTCAGTGGTGAACTTACTGTGACCATTTACTAACGAGGAAGGAGATGATAGAGTGAGCAAACGCACGGCAAAGCAAGCACACAAGCATCAAGCATGGAGTAGATATTTACAACCACACCTCATTCATATGGCCCATTTATACTATAAATTGTCAAGTTCATTGGACAGCTGGCAACTCACTTTGCATCTGCTGAGCCAGGAGCAGGAGCATCATTTTCAAATGTTTTCTCTTCTTCCCATCTCTTTTGTACCTCAGCCTCAATGCCCTTCAAGAAGTCAACCTTGACAGTACTCTTCCTCTCAATCTAACAAAATATGACAAATGAATAACAGCACTGTAAACTACTAGAAACAAACAAATATATCAAAATATGAGTAGCCCCCTCCCCCCTCCCCCCCAACAAAAACGTCAGCCTACCACAGGGATCCCGCACATAACAAACTTTATGATACGTTGTAGTGTTTATTATTAAACCTTTGCCAATATCATTAGGATTTTAAAATCATACTAAGCGATTACAACAGCACCTTAGTATCTAACAGACAAAATATATCCTTAATATTTCAAAATAATCCAAATGATTGCATCATTCGACTTCAAGAAACAAAATTTGTACCGGCAAACTTTGATGAGTGATAAATAAAATAAATTTAACGATATGGTATCTTTTTTAAAGGCAAATCAACAAAGTGGCTCATCCTAATTCGTGGCAATTTGTGAGATTGAGGATCAAATGTTTCCATACGGAAGAATCAAGGAATATTGTAGAGGTCAGCTTAAAAACCTTGATTTCATTCACGATTCACTGAACAAAATGGTGGTCGAAACTAGATTATTAACGCTGCTCTCAAGCAGAGAATAGCACTTACCGACATGTTGTTAGTATCCTGACACAATCCTCTCAAAATCAAACAATTCTGGGAAAATCGAGAGGAAAAAATACGATATTTTTTTACAGAAAACCAAGTCACACGTGCGCTGACCAAGCGCATAACCCTGAGCCTGCGGTTGAACTTCTCAGCTGAGTATCAACAAAAGATACACGCCCGCGATACTGTGTCCAGTGGGTAATACCCATTAGAAGAGGCAAATATTGAAAGAGGATTAAAGGGAATGGCTGATCACTTTGATGAGAAAAGTGGAGTTGTTAAGTCTAGAACCCCTTGGGGAACTTGGGCACAGACAATAGAGGAGGTGTTTATTGAAGTAGAAGTTCCCCAAGGGACCAGAGGAAAAGACGTTCAATGCGATATCAAGACAAAAAGTATTTCATGTGTGGTGCATGGGAAGGAAATATTTAAAGTAGGCATTTTCCTTTCTTTTGATTGTACTGCAAAATCACCCACTCTGCAAAATTATTCAATTAGCTCTCTTGCCCCAAGTGGATATATTGCTTAGGTATTTTATATAGAAATGTTGAACTCCAGTCGAGCAATTAGTAACCACAGGTATCCCAATTATGCACAGATACTAAGCCTGTTAAGTCTGTTTTACTTGCCGCAGGGAGAACTCTATGGTAAAGTATTACAAGATGACAGTATTTGGACAGTAGGTAAGGAAGGAAAGATTATTTTGCAAAAAAAAAAAAACATATTGTGTTAAATGTGGCTGGTTATGCTAGTAAGTATATATCTTTATCCCTGCATAAATCCGTTGCCATGGAGAAGGAGCATATATCATATAGCAGTAGGGACCAGTTATTAGAGAGGGGAGGGTTGGGTGTTAACTTTTCTAATCATGACATGTATACTGTATAATATCAAATGGATATACACACTAATATTTCTCAATTCTAAAATTTCTTATATTTTTGCCAGAGGACAAGAAGTTGGTTCATATCGTATTAGTCAAGTCTGAAAGAGATGCATCAAAAGGCTGGAAGTCACTCCTAAAAGATCAATACCTCACAGACCCACTGACTTACGATGAGATGGAGAAAAAACTAACACTAGAAAGATTTCAGAATRAGGTTTGTGTATCATACATACATGTCTGTCACAAACTGGGGTTCTAAGTTGTGAACCCCCCCCTCTCTTTCCCTCTTTTCGACGTTACTTCAACCATGAARTGGTAAATATGAACACCCCTTTTAAAGACTAATAATAGATAAAAGACTAGCGAAAGTCCTTGCAGTGTCACAGCTACATGCGGCCAAAAGTTCATACATTGCATAAGGATTTCTAAGGAATCAAAATGGTCTGAGATTAACCTGCGTATTACATATTGTAGCACTGGGGTTACCTCTATTGAAATTAAGGCATCATTTAGGACCTTGCCAGTGCCTGTTTAATGAAGGTTGTCCACTTAATCAAGGACCACAGAGCATAGCTTAAAATGGAGGGGCTAATCTTCAGGGGAATGCTCCATTCCCAAGACTCTGCATTTCATTTCGTATAATCACTTAAGTAAATATTATTCTTTTCTTCTTTGCAGAACCCTGGTTTTGATTTCAGTGGTGCAGAAGTGACAGGAAACTATACAGGTGGTGGTCCCAAACTACCATCTCAAAACTAAGAATAATACTTTTATATTTATGGAATATAAGCAAAGCTCAAATTAACAGCCAGCCAGTCACTAGTCATAATTACTGGCAAAAATACTTTTACCTCAGCCATACCTTGTTTCTGGAATGTTACTGGTTGACTGTTTAAGGATCACCAGCAAGGCAAAGTTTGACTGGACTAGTCCCTACTAATTTTTTAACTCTCACCATTATTTTAAGCCCTGATAAGAAGACATACAGGGTRTGCTGTGCCAATAGAGTAGGTTTCATGCAAAATAGCATTGTTGCAGTATGAAATTCCCAACATCTATTGAACCAATCACATGCAGCAGACACAATCACTGCTCAGGCAATGAAAGTTCTTAGGCTGAAATGAATTCTATTTATGTCCTAATTTAGTTCATTTATGTGTGAACATCCATATATTTTGTATAAAATTAATTAGGCTTTTACTGAAAATTATATTACATGTTACAGAGACACCAGAAATAGATGTAATGATTAATGTTAAATTTTTCTAAGTAAATAAGTTTTCAAATATAAATCTCTGATATCTCATTACTGAGACATAAAAAGTTAACATATTTTACTGACCTTTTTAATGAAAAATAGATAAACTAGCTCTATAACTATGCCGTAATAGAGCTGGTAACTTTGGCCATAAATACTTTTCGCTAATATTTGAATCCTTTTACTAACAGTTCCACTTCACTGGTTTGGATATTTAAAAAGACTATATTTGAAGAATATAATCCTCCCAGTTAAATTTCCTAATAGACTAGTAATGTAAAATATAAAATTCTTATTCTGGGAAATAAAAAAAAACCTTGAAACCTTGAATAATGGACTGATTGAGAACTTCAGAACGGTTAGAAAAAAACAAATAACCATTTAAACATATTTCAAAAAGAGTTTATGTCGCTTATTTGACCATGTATCTTGAAATAGATATAATTATTTCATCAGCTCTTTAGGTCAATTTTAGTTGCCATCAGTGTAATTTTAGATGGAACCTATTAATACTTAGTGGCGTCAGTAATACTGTTTTCTCCAGTTTCAAAACCACATCTGCATAGTTTTACTAATTGAGTGTCATTCCACTTCACTGGTTAAAATATGTACAAAAGTGGTACATTTTTATTAAAATAAAACACATTCAAAAGGTGTACACTTTTGAATAAATTTGATGTGAAAAAAAAGTGTTCGCAAATTCTGAAAGGAAAAATACATCTAAAATGTTCCAAAGAACCCGCTCCCAAATAGCAATACATAACAAATATTAGGTGTTAAATAAGCTCCAGCATACCAGCACATTGGGCAACCTAGTGCACACTCCAAGAGCGTCTTGTTGCATTTTTTGCAAAATTTCTTAATAGAATCACTAGTTATTTATAATAAAATAAAAATCATAGGATAAAAGCTGCAAATTCGGCGTAAAAAAATGTCTACGTTCCGTACGATCCAGCCAACCRAAGTCCAGTCCATTCCATCTATGCACGGTTCCTAATTTTCCAAAATTAAAAAACAGTCAAAATTCGGGCATTTAGATGCGGAAAAAGAGTTTTAGAAGTTGGGCATGTTTTTGCTATACATTAAGAGTATCCATGGCCATTCAAAAGGTGAAAATTAAAAACTTTTTTGTGATTCAAGTTCCAGTCACTCTGAGGCCCAGTCACTTCCAATCCATTTCAGTCACAACCAATCYATTCCAGTCACATCCAAATAACTTCAATTTATCTTAATAGCATCTTAATGAAGGAAACTTAGTTGTAAAGCCTGTAAAGATCCACAGAGTCACCTATAGACACATGAATTATACAGTCCTTTGAAAACCCTTGGCCGCTGACCGTCTTCACAGGACTTCATCCAGTGCCACGACCCAAAGCATTTTTWAAAAATGCATTTTTTGTGTGCAAAATTTTGGATTAGAACCACTARAAAAAGAAAAATACACCTAAAATGTTCCAACGTACCCGCTCCTCCCTAATAGCGGTACATAATAAAGATTAGGTGTTAAATAAGCTCCAGCATACCAGCACATTAGGCAACCCAGTGTACGCTCCAAGAGCTTCTTGTTTTTTGAAAGTGGTAAAGCTTTTTTTAAATCATAGGAAAATGAAAAGTCCTGAACTCAAAACATACATCGCAAAAAATTAAGCGAAAATACCAATGCATGATAATAGACATTTCTCTGTTTTAAGATTCGTCCCCTCCCTCGCTTCGTTTCCGGTATTTCCGGTTCTAAGGATCAATATATACAGTCACGTGGCTGACTTATCCAATCGATTGCTGATCTAGTCGATTACAAATAAGCTAAATATAGAACAATGAAGAACCTGGCATATAGTGAACATGCCGGCCGGTGGAGGTAAAGCAAAAGTTCCCTAAAATTTTGAGAAATTTGAAAGAAAATGTGGAGAACTCTTCGCAAAGGTAAGTACGGATCCTAACTTTGCTGAAATATGCAATCGCCGAAGAGAATTTTCGATTTTTTATGTTGTATTCCCATCATTGCATTTGCCGTTGTTCGCGCTCGTGCTCGACTCACAAGCCTTCTTCTTGGATTTTATCTTTACAGTCTTTTGGAACCGATCTGGAAATCCAGCAAACCTTCGTCTTGGACAAGTACAGGTCGCCGAGAAGAATGATGAAGTGAATCCACTTCCATTGAGTCTTGAAAAAGAACGAATACCTCGACATGGAAAAGCTCTGCTCCAAGAACACGACCTCGCACAGCTCGAGGAAGGTTTCAACCTTGTACGAAGCATTCTCATTCGTGCCAGGAGAGAAGAAAAGAGAAAAATAGCGAGGCTTATGTTTTTTGTTGGCGAAGAGAAAGAAGAAGAACAAGCTGGTTGTGGAACAATTATTGATGAAATTAAATTGGTAAGTGTTTCGTACATTCAAAACTAATATGTATAGAAGCTATTTCTCTTGGATATTCTCTATTTTCATCCTATTTCCCCCCTCCTCCCAAAAGAAGGCAAACAGCACTAGTTTTTTGTATATATTTTGCTTGTGAAGGTATATCAATTGTTTACCACGTGTTAAAAACAAAAATCCCGAAACACTTTGATTGTGTTGCGTCATTCTTGTCATCAGCTGTCCAGCCAGACTCGTATTAAAATATACAAATACCTATAGTCTGAATGTAGTTTTTATCGTTTTTCAGTGGTTTACAGGTGTCCTGGCACTGACTAGTATATTGAGCTGTCGACATTTTATTTTTGATGAAGACCACAAGATAGACATCAGAAGGATTCCCCAGGCATTATACTATTTAACCATTCACAACCCAAGGTCTGCTTTGGCTGTTCTACCAGTGGTACATAGTGATCAAGCATCTTTAGAAGATTCAAACAGCAAAAGCCTGTCATTAAATGAAGCTGCATCATCTTTTCAAACAACCTCTGATGAATGCACAGCACAATGCCAGAATAAACTAGGTGTCAAGTATGCTGCAAGACGACAATACCAAGAGGCATTTGCACTGTTTCAGCAAGCTAGTGTACATGGACATTCCCTTGCACAGTTTAACCTTGGTTTGTGCTATGAGAATGGCAAAGGAATAGACAGAGACCTTGAAAAAGCTGCTGAGTGCTACAAAAAGGCAGCAGCTCTTAACCACAGTGGGGCTCTTTATAACCTTGCTCTGTTTCACATGGACGGCATTGGCACATTACCCAAAGATCAAACCAGAGCATTGGAGCTATTAGAACTTGCAGCAAAAGCTGGCATGAAGAAAGCACAGTCCTATTTAGGTATTTACTATGCAAATGAATCATCCAAACATGTTGACTATGCAAAAGCTGTGTCCTACCTGGAAAAGGCTGCACATAAGAAAGATGCTGCAGCAGAATATCATTTAGGAATCTGCTACGAACGTGGTCTTGGGGTCGAACGAGATCTCAAAAAAGCTGGTCAGTTGTACGAATCTGCAGCAAATCACGGCAGTGTTTCAGCTCAACATAACCTTGGTGTGTTCTACCAGCATGGCTTGGGAGGTCTTCCAGTTGATCATAAAGAAGCACTAAGATATTACAGAATGGCGGCAGAGGCTGGTGATGAAGATGCTCATCATAACTGTCTACAGCTCATGGAAGAGACATCTTCAGAGAAAAGAGTGAACAGCTTGGTACCATTTGTTGGGAATGATATCTTATTAGCTTTTTTTCAACAAATGACATTCAAGCAAAATAATGAAGGAATTTTACGTTGTTCTTCTAGTCCTGAACTGATAGATCAACAAGTGAATTCACAAGACATTCAACCAAAAAAACATGACTCTGGAAGACATTTAGTTGCATTTTGATGTTTTCATATACCGTTTACTGTAGTAAAAACTCCAGTCCCACAGACATAAGGTTTTTTATTGTCAAATGTTTGTCAATTTATCTATCTTAATGAGTTAAAAGTAGTTTGATTGAAAGATTTATGGAGTCCCTGCCTAGCTCAACTCGTCACATAGTGTTACATTTATATAAAAAAGGTTTAAAAACATAAAAATTGAACTAATTTATTAAAATCATGAATATTTTTATTATATTTGTAAATAGGTTCTGTAACATTTTGAACAGAAATAAAATTAATTTGAATTTACAATTTTTAGTGTCATAATTACAACATTTCACTTGGCAATTTTTAGCTGGTGTGAATATTAACAGATGTTAGTGACAGTACAATGACATTGGTTTATCATATTTTTACAGTTTAGTAGGTAAAAAAATTATCTTTATGGTGTTGAATAAAAAACATGAGATTGAATGGCTGCTTCCAGTTTTCCTTCGAATATAACCTTCAAATATAAATGATGACAAAACAACAGTCCCAAACTGGTTGCACATCTTGGAACAAATTTGCATACACTTTACTGCATTTATCTAACAGGATTACACTAAATCCTTTCTTATGGAATTYCGTTTGCTGTAAGTCTAAAGCGCAACCACCCTATAGCTCTTAGACTTTTAACTGACAGCTTTGAATAAACAAAGCAAGTTGAGACAACAGTTRAAGTGCATGCCATATATCTGTGAAACAAAACTAAAGATGTATGGTCTAATTTCTATTTTGTATAAAATATACACTAGTAGATTTTACTGAATAGAGCAGAACATTGGATGCAAAAGCAAATACCTACATATATATACATGTGCTTTTGTTTAGTTCATACCTGGGTGACAGGGYCGTAACCAGGGTGGAGCACTGGGTGCACGTGCACCCCCCCATAAAAGCTTAAGGTCCGCTAATCCATCTCTCTTTTTTTTTTGGTTCTGCTTTCTTTTGGTTACCTTTTCCTTTTTTTTTTTTTTTCTTTTTTTTTGGTTACCCTTTTTTTAGGTTTTATTCGATGTGCACCCTCCCTGTACAAGTTCTGGTTACGGCCCTGGGTAAATTATTACTGTTAATTAGCAGCTAAATAGTGAGAACTAAATGCTTTTATGCTATACCTGTAGCTAGTAATTGCTTCACGGATATATGGAGTGCACTTTAAAATAACCCAAGTTTACATGATCAGTTTATAATAATATTAAATTTTGTTGTGAAATGTAATAATAATAATAATAATATTATTATTACATGATGTTCAAAATCACCATAAAATGTAAAACTTCCACCATCAAAAACTACTGAGGAATTGTTTCCTGCTATCCACTGCTTTCTGTCCTCTTTTGTCAACTATCTTCTTGATTGCCACAGCATCACCTGAACTGATTGCCAAGTCCTCTTCCCTTTTCCAGATCTCCTGCCCTACCATGTTCACAAAAAAATGATATTCTAAAATATATGTTTCATATAATTTGTATTATTTACATCAAGATTTGCAGAGCACCTTAAAAAGAGGGGAGCTTATGGTTAGAGTAGAGAATATGTAGCAGACTAGTCCAGAAGAGTGGTGAACACAGCGCACAAAGCATGGGTGGACAAAATGACCAGCCCCAAGCATTTTTGGAGCTTCCTCAAAGGGAATTTGTTTTTATTCTTCCTTTCCAAATTTCTGCTCCTTGTAGGCACTTATATTATATTTTAGTCAAAAGAAAACAGAAAGATATGCAAACGTTGGGCTACAGTAGCCCGGGAATGGGGGCCAGCGGCAAAACAGCTTAACGCGTTGTGATTGGCTGAAGCAAAATTCACAGCTCAGCTGGGTATGCATCTGTATGACTAAGAGTGGGAAGCACTGACCTAAATATATAGGTTTTCTCTTTCTACAGTCCCTGTCATTTCTTTGCATTCCAATAGTCAAGTAGATTAATATCAATATGATAGTACTGTAAATATGAAAATTTCTCTTACCATTCAGAAGCAAACCTGTCTGCAAGTAATGAGAAGCACATTTCAAGCAACCACAAGACACATACAATGCATGTAAAACCTGTACTGGGGTTGGAGTTTGCGTCTTACATGGTGACTTCTGACTGATCATCTGAAATAGCCCAAAATGATTCAAAGCATTGGGTGAGAAAACTTCTACTTTCAGCTGACAAAGGAGATTAGGGTCAAACTTTTAGGAGATGATTTCAAACCAGGGGAAAAAAACTACTTAAGCTATAGTACGTTTTGCTGCAACGATACCAACTACTTAAATACTAAATATAATACATATGCCAGCACATAGGTTGATGTCATGTATACGTCAGCCCCTAATATGTGGTGACTGCAGGGCTCAAACCATTGGACTCACAGTGGATGTAGGATGGCTTAGCAGCGTTACCACCCATGCTTTTCAGGAAATTTGTATAACTTACCTCTATTTGTTTAAAATTTTCAAAAAGCTGATGGCATCTCAAAACTGGAGAGCAATCATCAGTACTGTTCTCATTGTCATGGTTACAAAGCATATCGTACTGTGGTACATCGAAATGTTCTTTCCCAGATTCAACTTTACGACTTGAAATGTCTTTTGGCTGTGCCTTTAATTTTCTTATTTCACTGTTGCATGAATTTATAGTTCCTTCAATGCTGTTTCTTTTTGGGGAATTATTTTTCCTACATGTAGCACAGAATCCTGTGTCATCTGTTTGCAGCCTTTTATTGCAACATGCATTTGAAGACTTGTCCACAAATGAAGATGTACAAGTACATGTAACATGCAGATCTTCTGCTTCAACATCTTGAGATTCTGACTTATCCAGTGTGTTTACAACTTTGTTCTTTTGGATAGATGATGTTTTATATGTTTGTTGAATAATTTCATCACAATTACTTTCAAAACAAGTCTTTTGCTCTTTAGGCAAAGAAGCACGTACATTTTCTTTGTCTTTTCTCTTTTCATTCACTGTAACATCCTTTTGAAAGAAATGACAACTAGTTTTGATTTTCTTGTTAGGTAAAGCATTCTCAGCTGAGTTGTCATCTATTGTAATCTGGCTTTTTGAAATGTTCTTACTTTCTAGAAAAAAGAAATAGCAAAATCTTTATTAATTTCAATATCTTTCCCAGCAGCAAGATAACACCTTATACTACCAATAGCCTACCAACAACCTACCGACACCAAACTATGGACGACAATTTGAGGTTCATATTCAATGTTAAGGCATAAATGATACAAGTGATATAACTTGCCTATAAACTCCAGTTTTCCTTTATGGGAAGTTGAACAAGTACTCTGCCTCAAGAAAGATAAATAACGTGACCTCATTGACTGCCATCTACGACAAGTCACCTGAAACAATGTCAATATAAGTTACAAATGTGTCATAACTTCTGAAATTTAAAGGCTTACAGGTACATGCATGTGTATGCAAAGTAGGCTATTTTAGCAGCTGAGTATCAACTGATCAATAATGTGGTCAAGTTGTATTGATCATTACATCCAAACAAAAAAAATTGGATCATTCTTGACGGTAATCAATGCTAGAATCAATGCTTTCATGCATGATTGTCTACATGTGACAGTTTAATCAATTAAACTAAGATTATCAAGGTATACTGACACAAGTTATGCATTACAACTGTACATAACTTTATATACAGTACTGGTAGACTCCCAATGATCCATGCTTGAGTTGCAGGAGATTGACAAGTCATTAGAAGAGACTGAGCTACTAACAAAGGACAAGGATGGATGGAAGGCCCTGGTCTCGGCCCCATACATGACATTTCGGCATTATGGGAGGAAGATACTTGCTTTTTTATTTTCCATCTCTTGCCATATTTTGTTTCCTGAGAGTTTTACGTCTTGACCTTCAAACTTTCTGATATAATCAAGAATAGCTTGATCTTCTTCAGGGCTGTACTTCATTCTCCTGGAAAAACCAAATCTCTTTAGTATTCACTAGCAGACCATCCTAAAGTGGCAGAAGTAGTGTTTGCTGTCTCTCCACCCAGGTTCGATTCTCAAGCTTGTTGCCATAAGTGAGTACAGTAGAGTTGTTGATTGATTCCCCCCCGTGCTTTGAGAATTTTTCTCAAATTTTCCTTCCTCCACAAAAATCAACTTCTAATCRAATCTGGATTGAGTGCTTTAGTCATGAATCTCTGGCTTGGGTAACTGAGCAACCACTCCCTAATGTTTGATGTTTAAAAATAATAAATATTTTACATAATTATTAGATTGATCAAACTCCACAATTAAATTATAGCACCCATAATAGTAAAAATAATAATAATAATTTAAATAATAAGTGCTACTACGACGAAAATTGCTCAAACTTGGATTCAGCTGAAACTTCCTAAAAATACTCTTTAAAGGTCCAATAATCACTGTATGAAGTGTTTTCTCGATATTCAGTACGAAAGTATGATATTTTTACGATTATTTTTTAGTGTCTGTGACGTCATACACTCAACATCAAACATTGCTACATATATTTCTTTGTATATAAATCCTTAATTYATTTTATTCCTATGAAGCCCAAAGGGTGGGTAATGTGCTTATTTCACATTACTTGTGACTATAATTTATATTTTGGGGTGTTTGGGTATTTCTTTCTCCCTTTACTACTGATATTTTGATCATAAACTACAAAGAAATGTATGGAGCGATGTTTGATGTTGAGTGTATGACGTCACAGACTCCAAAAAATAATCGTAAAAATATCATACTTTCGTCCTGAATATCGAGAAAACACTTCATACAGTGATTATTGGACCTTTAAAGAGTATTCTTAGGAAGTTTCAGCTGAATCCAAGTTTGAGCGATTTTCGTCGTAGTAGCACTCTAATGAATTTCTATAGCGTTATACATTACTCTATAACACTTTACAATGAATTTTTTAATAGCCAACTACTGTAGCTAGCATCTTCTGACTAAAGGAATGATTATAATTATACTTTATAACTACTGCGTTATATAGTATATAAACAGTTCATGCACTATCCATCATATACCTACCCATTCTGTGCCGCTTCTGTTTTGACAGTAATATGAATCTTGCCAGGACTAGCTATGATATCTGGCTTTGTTTCTATCCTTTAGGGTAAAATTACAAAATGATTTATTACCAAAAACTTTACATTAAATGGAGCAAAATTAATATCTAAAAAAATTTTGTACTCAAAATTTTCAAAACTACAAGTCTAATGGATATGTATTCTCACCTGTAATCTTCAATATTGCATAATGTTCCACGTTTGTAGCTGTCAAAAACAAAGTCACTGGAAACTAACTGTTTCCCTGTTTTGTAATTGGGCTCAACCAATCTAATAGTTCAACAAAAAATAAAAGAATATGTTGTAGCCAATTGCTGGTTTTCAATAAATTATTCCCAAGGGAATGAAATAACAAAGACAGTTGGCAGCCATGCATTTTGGTTGATATAATGACTAAACGTCATGTGCAAACTAAGAATGATAGCCCTGCATAACACAGCTGTTGCAACATGCATGGGGTGAATATATATATACTAATAAACAATATCTTATACACCAAATGGAAATATGGTGACCAACTTAAATGACTATATCGTTTGGGAGTGACAAGCCTCTCATATGTAAATTTAAAATACTTTATTTTCCATTTACAACACGAAGCTAGTCAGTCCAGAACAATACTGTACTTATTCAAATTGGTTGTCATATTTTGATTTGGTGTAATATTTGGGTATTCATGTACTTTATTATAACCAGGCAACATGTGTTGGTTGATAGTCAGCTGACTTTCTTTTGTAAATACGAGAGAAAGTGAGCATTGGTGAAGTGTTGGTAATGTTTCAGCTAAGTGTTGATCAAGTGTCAACCCATGATTGTCCAACAGTCAGCCAACTGTCGATCAACACATGTCAGCTGGTCACAAAATGCACGATTACCAAGAATATGTATCATTATAATAATTTCCAAGATAAACATTAACACATTAACACACTTAAGGGATAACTGRGTTTGTATCAGCATGGTTTTTTTAACAGCAGTAAAATACAAAGAGTAAATGCTGATCATATTTTTGGTACCTAACATCCTTATTTATTCAAGATTACCTGATTGCTCCTGGTGTTTCTTTGCTGGTAATAACACCACCACCATTCTGGTAAAACATAGAATATACTTTCATGTAAGGCTGAAAAATACAGCAAGCGTACATGCATTGCAATGCATATCACATGCACAAATATTTAAATACTTGCAATGTCTATAATCAAACACTGGATCCTCATATTGCAAGTTTTGTTTTTGTGCAAAAAGCATTGGGCCTACTGGAGTAACTTGATATTTTGGCACTGATTATCATTTTGCAGATTGTAGAGGTTCCAAAATTTCAAGAACATTTTGGTGAGTGGTGGGGCTGGAGGGAGGGGAAGGAGGGGGGGGGGGGTAAAAATTAGAAGTTAACCAATAATTTTTTTAGTCACTATCCACTTCGTAAGACATATGGTCCCTGATAATAACGAAATATTTACTGCTATATTTTTATTGAATTATGCAATCGAAAGAGATCACGATTACAATCCTCGTGTTGGAGGCTGATGCGCAGTCAGTCTCAGCACACACCCAAAAAAAATACTAAAAATATACGCCTCATTTCCAAAATAACACTACCCTCACCTCAACAACTGGCCGAAGTCTTTTTTTCGTATCTCCAGGTATAATGACAAACACCATAGGGCTTCCATCTTCATGGGTAAACAAGAACGAGTTAGATGCATTTTTTGCCGCCATTTTCAAACAAACAACAAACTCATGCATGCTGGGAACACAGGGAGCCCAATTTAGATAACGTGAAAAGTTCAAATAAAACTAATAAAAATACCCTTTATTATTTGTTTTTGTATTTGAGGCTAAGACAGATTTCCATAGCATAATTGAATAAAGAAACCAAGAAAAATAAAATACGATATTTCCTTTTTTTGCGCACAGAAATACTACTACATTGGGTTTCCTGTGACGGGGGAAAACTGGACAAGCCAAACAACACCTTTATTCTTCCGTGCGTCTATCTATTCCCAAGGGTTTGCTCTAATTTTCTTATTATTTTGTCCCCTTACAGTAAATTTACCTCGAGATGAGCGATTCTGGGGTAAATACTTAACTTATGGCATGAGTTTGTAAGACGCTAGAGCGTCGTGTAATCATACCTTAATTTATTTTCTGCAGGACTCAAAACCTCCCTCAACAAGCACAGAACATATCAACTTGAAAGTAGGAGGTCAGGTATGTGCTTTACGACATAATCAGTCATTGTGTTCTCCGTGGCTAGTTGTGTTTTGATATAATATGCACTTGCAGTCTTTAGTTATTTATTGAATTTGTGATTTCAAAGGATGGTGCGGTTGTACACTTCAAGATCAAGAAGAAAACTCCGCTTAGAAAACTAATGAATGCTTATTGTGATCGCCAGGTAAAAATTGAATGGGATTAARAAATATTGAACGCTTCAAAAATCGCATTATTTTCTTCCAATTTTCACGCAGGGGCTAGTGAAGGGCCAGTTGCGATTCCAGTTTGATGGGAATCCAATCAATGATGATGATACTCCAGAAACTGTAAGTACCCTTCCAATTCCTCTTTTACCTTTCCTTTCGCTAAAACTGCTAAGCTTATATGTTGGTGTGTAACGAGTCATGTTTCCCATTTACCATGTTATAGTAGAGCATAATAGAGAGTATCCAATAATATTTAGCATACTTGAGTGGTTTTAATTTCATTAGTAAATCATGGATGCATTGTGCATGGACACAAACACACACATGCATACAGCGCACACATGCATACAAGTGCACACATGCATACAGCGCACACATGCACACTCATGCGCACTTGACTTTTTGACTTTAATATGCTGTAATTTCCAATTTCATCTGCAACTTAGCCATTTCTAAGTTCCATGACTTTGATTAGCCAAGATGACAGTTGTTTCAGAGTTTGATCTGCATTTTGGCTTGTGGATTGAAGTACTGGGTTTCAGCATGTTGGTTGGCAAAGCTCCCTTCCATGCTATGGTCTGGCCCCAACTTAATTTTTCACACTTGTATAAATATACTCAACATTTTGATCTTATCCAATAGCTGATATCAGGTATATTCTCTTTGAYAGCTTGAGATGGAAGAGGATGATTGCATTGATGTATTTCAGCAACAAACTGGAGGAGTATGGGTATTATGAAGATATTATATATGTACTCTATCACATTTGRTTTTATAGTATCTTTATTCAAAAGACTCTAAAGAGGAAGATCATTGTACTATGGATATCAGTAGAGTGGTAAAACAGAGCCCACAAATCTGTGCCACATGATTGAATTTTTCTGTACCACGTGATCTGACATTTTTGAATGAAATGATTGGCCAGAAACCATTCTCATACCCAGAGCCTCCTCATAGCAAAAATCGGAAGCTCTGGCA